AGAGTCTTTAAACTTCAGAGGTCTAATTTGTAATATTCGGGAGGTGGGAAGAGGGATTTTTTTAATAACGTACAGATTTTCACGTTAAAATTTAATATTATTATTCACACATTTACACGTACAGATTATTATTACAACTGTTATAATAGTATAAAATTATACAGAGTGACTACACTTCTACGAACACTCAGTACTGCAGACAGGGTCACTTGAGACTAACTTGACAGTTGGTTACAGTAATACTATGTAATACAAAGGAAGAGGATGAGTATCTATCGTTAAACTGTTACTGATGGGGTGTACTACTCTACTCTACTTACTCTTTGTAAGTTCGTTACAATATTCGTCTTAGTTTGTTCATCTACTTCATCATCAAAGAGTGATAAAACAGCTATTTCTTCTGACAAGTACCAAAGATGTTGACTAAACTTGCTCAGGGCAGCTTTGGAGATCTCTTTATTAACAATTTCATATTCCTTAAGACTTTTTAAAAAGCGCAAATCTTGATTTGGGGCCTTGACTGCCAGACTACATCCAAGCCATGGTTTTACATATATAACTGCAATGAATAAACAAATATTTTGAAGGGCTCTTTTATCCTTGGCGCTAATTTTGAATTGAGATTGCAACAAACATATTTTCAAAGAGTAAATGGCTCTAGCCATCAACCTGGCTTGATGCATTGCTCCAGGAGGACTTATTTTAATATTTTTCTCATTATCTCCTCCTAAGAAAACAATAGATAATTGAATCAGTCTCCGATAATCATCACGTACAATGAATTTTTGCAGTTCTTGATTATAAAATATCAACAATTCATCAATCGCTGTTTTTAAAAAATGTTGTGTGACGATGTCGGTGTACGCTTCAATAGCAGCAGGATTAATAGTTTTCCAGTTGGCTCTAATCTTTTTGAATATCGGGATGTCAGGGCTATTTGTGATTTGATGGATTTTTGTTTTGAATATACATTTCAAAACCAGTTCGTACACGAGGGTGGAAAAAAAGGGTTTTGAAAGAAAGAAAGAAAGAAAAATATTTTATTCAGTGCAATGTAAAAAATACAATATAAACAACAAACGAGAAAAAAAATGAGCAAATAAAATGTACATATAATTAAACTTAATTTCAGAGTTTTCAGAGTTTACCATATTGATTTTGGTTTCATCGGAAAAATAGAACATTTTTCCACTGACGTTCTGTCCAGTGTAAATATTTTTGGGCAAATTCTAATCTTGCTCTGATACTTTCCTTCTTCAGAAGTGGTACGAGAAATTCTTCCAAACAAACCTGCCTCGTATAATCGCCTTCGAACCGTTCTTGCGGACGCTCTATTAGCCCCCTCTGCACCAAATACTTCACAGCGAATAATTTCTGATCCTTTGAAAGGGTCTTTTGTAGCCAACAATGCTATTCTTGAGTCTTCTCGCAGGGTTGTTTTTCTCGGTCTAGGTTTCCTAGGCACGTTTTCCGTAGTATTATACATCTTAAAACGCCTAATAGAATAGCGTTCATCACCATTTCTTTAGAGCATCTGCAATTTCCTGTATGACCAACCTTTGTCATAAAAATTAAAAAATATCTTCCTTGTAGAAGGATCGCAGCTTTTGCTTTTTCCCATACTAATTAATTTTTTCACAATACGAGAACTAGTTTTCACAATACCAAATACTTATGCAATTTTTTGGTCTAAACTAGCGTGTCACGAAAATTGGCGGCATAATAAAAAAACAAGAGTGCTCTTTTTATTTTAAATTTAGAACATGAATAACGCGCTGTCTTTAATTAGATGGCCAGCGGTAAACGTATGGAAAAAGTATGTGTTACATTTGAAAAAGGAATCATGATTGAAATATTGCTTAAATAGCTATTATAGCTGTTCTAATTTTAAAAATACGACGTCAGTGTTCGCAAAATAACATTACAATGGAATGTATTCCTATATATATATTGTCTCGTCGTGGACACAATGGAATTTATTTTAGAATAAACTCTGATAATAGTTGATAAGTGCGTTTTATTTGATATAAATATTAACAATAATTCTAGCTGGCGTTACAGCTGTCCAAGTAAAAACAAGATGGCACAGTACTAGAAACACAACAATGGACCGTAGAACAATAATAAAAAAATGAAATGCCTGCTCGAACAGGCCGAGCACGTAATTGAAATTGTCATTAACATATATATATATATATATATATATATATAAAGCTAAGTAACATTTTTATACTTATTATTTAACAAATCAACAAACTAAGATAAATCAACATTAATTAACAATTTAAACAAAAAAATTCATCTATTCATTCGTCTTAATTCTATAAGTATGCCTTCCAAACTATCCCTTATTAATTCATTCAGTTCCTGAAGTGTTTCGCGAATCAGCCCTAACTCTGCCACTCGTCGATCCTCCGCTGCGATTCGCCGCTCCTCCATTTCGAACAGACGCCTGCGTACACTGCGTTCAGGTCCAATGGCGTCTGCACGACGGCGTCGTCGCTCTGGACGTGTAGCAGCCGTTAAAGTTCTAAAAACAGTTTTTTTTTTAATAATTATTATCATTATTATTTTCTGTATGTATGCATACTAATAGCAGACTTGATGACTAGATATATACTAGTGATTAGGACTATAAGCCCCCATTACTAATAATCTTAATATTTACAGAAATATTTTCATATAACAATAATTAACCAGAGGGAGACTTTGTACAAAAGTCGATTGCTTGGGTACCTCTGCCCCATTCGGGTCTCTACCGTGAGGCAGTTGTATTTGCATGGCTTTACTTTGACACATAAAATATTAGCAGGATATTGCAATAGACAGTCTTAATACAACAGTCACCTGCTCTGAGGTAGAGCAAGAGGTATCCACTCTGTCCCACTCATATTTCTGCTATGAAGCAGCTGTTCTTGCATATCTGTATTTCAGTTTGAAAGGTCGGAAAAGCCTATGACCTTATATACAGAAATAACAGGAATGGTAGTGCACGAGGAATACCATGGAAATCACCATGTATTTTGATGATATCCATGATGTTATATATGTCTACAGATAACAGTCAGCACTATTTTAATATATGGTTTTACAACATACCTCTGGAAATGCAGGTACACATGCATCCGACTGAGGTTCCCCAAATCCTTCTCCCGTAACAGCCAATATCTTTTCTGAATGGGGTTTAAAGGCTCAGCAGATGATGGCCAACCCCCAGTGGCTCTGGCAGACCTTCGAGCAGCAGCAGCAGCTTTTTTCGTTAAGTATTTTTTGTCAGCCCCTACCTAAAATCTATTAAATAATTGGAAAATTTTATTTCATAACAAAATTGTACTGTAATAAATTATAATGGTTTTACTTAACATATTAAATACATATCATGTACTAAAATAGAATCTTCAAAAGATTATAGCAGTAAATTTATTGAAACAAAAAAATTACAAGGTCACATTGAAAAAAAACAATTCGCAGCCTTATCCTTAAAATCAATCTCATACAGGCAACCTCTGCCGGCTGGAAAGAAGTAAAGGAAAATGAATAAGAAGAGAAAAGAATTAATAATTAAAAAAAAAAGAATATTGTATAGGTAGATAGTCATTCGATTACTTCCTTCAAGAAAAGGTTGAAGTCTCACTTTTTAACTAATAATACATAATAATACTATGCTTTTGCTTTTGTATGTATTGTATTTGCTTATATAGTATATATATATTATTATATATTAAATTTGCATATTTATACATATGTATTTACAATTTGTGTAATTTCATTTTATTTGTAATTATATTTACTTTGTATTAATGTTAAGTTCTTTTTTCTTGAACGTTTCCTACATTTGATTAAGGTCAACTAGGGCTATTTCGTCACAATACTTTTAAGGGCATTTGTAATTGATTATATTAAGTTAATTATTTGTCTTAAAAAACTGTATATTAGAATTTCAAATAGTATGTTTTATCTTGTTTTATATTCTAATATTAGTTCGTGATATTCTGAATCCCTTATGTCTAAAAATACGTTTTCTAAGGAGGTTGAGATTTTTAGACGTAAACACCCCAAATGGGGCGAAGGCGTATTTCGTTAACATTACATAACTGAAAGAGTTTGTAAAAAAAATAAAGTAATTTGTAAAATCACTAGTTATAAAGTAAGTAATACTTTCATAATATACATTATGGACTTGGTTGGTCACAGTTGCTTGAACAAAAATTCTCGGGCCTATTGCATCTAATTTATATTTTTTCTTGTAGACGCATTAGACCCATCTTAGATTCCAGGGGTATGAAACAATTTTCTTCTGAAAACTTTACAGTTTTGTGACGAAATGCGAGGGGTCGATGTATCGGTTAATTTTGACCGAAGGAGACGTTTGATTTGATGTGTTCTTAACTGTACAGTCAAGAGCAAGTCAAGTTAGAAATTGTACTTTTGATTTCAGACTTCGAGTACAAATCAGAGCTCACACCACATTATACCGGTTGTGACTAACTTGATCTGTTCTTGACTGCATAGTCAATCGCAAGGCAATAGAAGCATTATCACTGCAAATGTCGCTGCTAATGCTACGAAATAAAAAGGCTCTTAGGTGGTAAAATAAATAAAAATAACTTAAGAATTCAAAAATGTATTAGGATTCGTTATCTCAGCTGGAGTTAAGCAGAATAATGACTTATATTAATCAAATTATGAAAAAAAAAAAACCATGTTTTTCTTGACTACTCTTTAAATACCTTATTATGAGATATTAATTATTGAATGTTGTATATTTTAAAATTTTCTTTGAATGTAATATGTCCTCTGCGGGATATAGCAGGCTTTCTAAGGAACATTACAATATTATCGGAGTGTTTTACCTCTGATATATCCTCCACGTCTGGATAATGAAAAGAAAAGACCTTACTGTTCTTTATTTTTCTCATAAATTTAACATTGGGTATGTTGTCTTTATTAATAGAAATTATGGTTCCCACAAAATACTTTACGGACTTTTTTGTTGTAAATCATACTAATACCCAATCATTAATTTCTGGGTTCCTACTGCCTACATTTGATTTAAATTTGTCATTAACTGTAACATTCGCATCATTATTTAAGTAAGTTTTGTCATTTTCTTTTTCTTCCGTGTACAAATCTTCGATAAAATCGACATCGTTTTCCATTTCCGCTAAAATATTTTCACGATAGCAATCAAAATTTTGACATGACAATTCAGCTGAATCAGACAGATCTAATATAATAACTGATTCATCTTGAGATTCGCTGGAATCATAACGCTTCTTTTGATCTTTGACCCTTTTTTTAGAATTTTTAGCTGCACTTTTTTTTTTTTTCTTTGGTATGCTCTTATGAGATATTACTTTTTTTACTTTACTTTCGTTAGTTGATTTTATACAGTTTGGTTTTTTGATTTGGTCCATTTCTTCCGGTTCTTTTTGTATCTCTTTTGTTTTAAGTTTCTTCCTAGTAGTCCTTTCCTTTTCTTGTTTTACTTCCTCTTCCTTTCGTTTTTTTTTTTCCACAAAGTCTTCTCTCGTTATTATTTCACATCCTCTAGCAATTTTAGTTTTTTTCAATTTTATCGTGGAGTCACTTCTCTTTATTGTCTGTAATAATAAAGTTTCGAAAGAAACTCTGAGGAGGGTAAGATTCGATCTTCAGTAATTTTAATTTTCTTTGCATCGTTTGATGATGCTGCTATTGGATTCTGGCAAGTGTTGATCCAGTTGAGAACTGCCGCCAAACTTATATTATCAAAGAAGAGCTTTCTTTTTTTGGTTTTTTATATTCTCTGAATCTTTTTAGTGATTCTGGGTCAAATTTTTCAGCTGCAACCGCGTTCCTGTTGAATGGGTATATACCTCCTTTACTGAAGCCATTTCTTATTATTTTGGCATCCAACTCACGCCACACTTCTCCCCGAAGGCGACTGAACTCATCTTTTGGCAACTTAGTACCCACATTTAACCGTTGCCACTGCACTAGTTTTTCATTCCAAGTGTTTTTTATTGATTTGAAAACGGATAAATCTAATGATTGCAGAAGGTGGCCTGCATGTGATGGCAGCTTTATAATGGTGACGCCTCGTTTTTGTGCTTCTTCTAAAATTTTTACCTGAATATGGGTGGAGTGTCCATCGAATATTAATAAGGCGGGTGAATCTTCACTCAGATGTGGTAATACAGTATTCAACATATATTTTTCGAATACTTTTGCATCGATCCACCCATTTTTAGTGGCAGCATAGGATGTATTTTCAAACCCTTTATCTGAAAGCCATTAGTCTCATGTATTTTTTCCTCTATTTATAATTAAAGGTGGTAATTTGTCACCAGCGGCGTTGGCTGTGAACAAAATTGTGACATTGTCTTTTCCCGATGATGCGATTGTTCGTGTACTGGCATATCCACGGGCACCGACAACTTTTATTCTTTCTGGATCTTTTCCAAAACTAGACTCGTCAAGGTTCCAAATTTTTTCGGGTCTTCCTTTTAAATCAAGTTCCGTCAAAATATCATCAAGAATATCGAAATACTCATTCACAACAAAAGGGTCACAAGCCACTTTCCTGGACATCTCCACCGCTTGTGGTTTTTTTTTTTAAGGACAAATTGTGTCTCTTTTTAAAGGCGGCAAACCAATCATAACCAGGTCTGTTGTTCTTGAATGGGGTTTTGAATTTATTTTCACTTACATATACGGCAACTAAATCTAATGTTTCTTTGGAAGTAAGCCCGAACCCATACTTTTCCATAATCCGTAGACTATTCGCAAGTTTGAGCTCGATATCTCTGTGAATTGCGATAGGTGGTCCTCGGTTCTCCTTTACGACACCTTTTTTGTTGTTGACTCTATCACATATAGTCATTCATGGAATATTTAATTTTTTGGCAGCTTGGTACGAATTTATTTTACCACTTTTGACTTCATCTACTGCCTGCTTTAACGTTTCAAGGTCGTAAGTAGATACAGTTTTTCTTTTATATACACGAACCATTTTGGAAAACCTGAAAGAGATATTTTGATTTCATCATCATCATCATTATCATCATCAATATTATCATCATCATCATCGTCATTGTCAGCCTGCATCAACCGAAAGAAATTAACAAAACATCTTTATATGTGATATATATAGGGTGACTTTTATATATATATATATATAGACTTTTATATTATTTATATATAATTTTATTTTGTCCTTTTTCCTCCTCTACCTCTTTCTTTAGTTACTTTCTTTTTAATTGGCTTATGAGTAATTCTCTTACTTTAAATGAAGATAAAACTAAATATATTATTTTTTCAATGTATAAATGCACTAAAATGTACAATAATAATTACTCTATTCGCGCACACAAATGTAACTTTCCTCCAATATCAGATTGCAATTGCCCCAAAATTAACACAACACAACACATAAAATATCTAGGTGTTATAATAGATGCAAATTTAACATTTGAAAAGCACATTGATTCTGTTTCACATAGGGTGCGTAAACTTGTCTATATCTTTAAACAACTTCGAAATGTCGCAGACGAGAAAACTATAAAATTGATATACGATGCATTAGCAAGATCTGTCTTAACCTACTGTATTAGTACATGGGGTGGCTGTGCAAAAACTAAATTGATAACACTAGAAAGAGCTCAAAGATTAATATTGAAGGTAATGCTGCATAAACCTCGTCTTTTTCCTACTATAAAACTTTATGAAGACGCAGAGAGGCTTACTGTACGACAGCTGTATACGAGGTCTGTCCGGAAAGTTCGTATAAAAGTGTTCTGGAATGCGAGAAAGAGGAGTGGGGAGGCCAGGTAAGCGCAGGACCCCTTCCTTATGTCCCTAACAATGCTTCAGTTCTGGTCTGACCGCCGTGCGGTGCGAACTGGCTTGTCACGCCATCTGTGAAGTTACCTCTTAACGAAACCCCGTCGGCATGGAGCCCGCTTCCGTTGAAGAGCAGCGCGTCGTAATCAAGTTTCTCTCGAAACTCGGCAAGAATGGCCGTGAAATTTTTGCCGATCTAATTCGATAAGACATCCGGGGAACCACGAACAAAAAAATCAAGAAAATCCCGCTCAAATGTCAAGACAATGTTGATTGTTTTTTTCGATGTTCGGGGGATTGTCCATCAAGAATTCGTCCCTCCAGGCCAGACAGTTGATGGAAAATTCTACGTCGATGTGCTCAGACGCCTCAAAGCTCGTGTGGCACGAGTTCGTCCAGAATTGGCGCGAGAGGGGCGTTGGATTCTTCACCACGACAATGCCCCTGCCCACACCTCTCTTGTTGTCCGTGAGTTTTTGAGTAAAAATTCCATTACGGTGACCGAACACCCCCCCTATTCGCCGGATTTGGCCCCGTGTGACTTCTTCTTGTTCCCAAAAACCAAATTGGTACTTCGGGGGCGGCATTTGGGGGACATAAATGAGATAAAAAAAGCTACGACGGGGCAGCTGAGAAACCTACAACCAGAGGACTTTCAAGGAGCCTTCTCACAGTGGAAACGGCGTTGGCACAAGTGCATTATGTCACAGGGGGAGTACTTTGAAGGGGATAAAATTGATTTACCTGAATAATTGTAAAATAAAATTTTTAAAAAACTTTTATACGTACTTTCCGGACAAACCTCGTATATTACAAATAGTCTTGCGCAAACATTGCTCTCTATCATATGAAAAAATAATTAGCGTCAGCAACACAAGAAGACACTTCCAAGTCTGTGAATCAGTAAATGTTAAGACCTCATTTGCGCAGAGATTTTACCAATTCCGCAGTGGAATCGTATATAACAGGATAAACAAATTATTAAACATCTTTAAATATAGTAAAAATGAATGTAAACATATTGTAACAAATTGGCTATTAAAACAAACCTATAACGATACGGAAAAAGTAATAGAAGTAATAAAATTATAATAGTGTATAACAGCGTTATCTACGCTTAAGTACATAATTAATTAAAACAATAGAAAAGGAAGGGTATAATAAAACAAAATAAAACATATATGATATTTTTATTTGTAATTCGAATACAACACATACCTAATATAACACATACACACACACGCACACACACACACACACACACACACACACACACACACACACACACACACACACACACGCGCGCTTGCACATACACACACACACACACACACACACACACACACACACACACAGGAGCGCGCGCGCGCGCTCGCACCTCTTTGTTCTAATATTAAATCATATTTATTTTTACTCCACGCAACTACCTTTTACTTTGAATTGTCAATACTTTATATGGGGGGGGACCTGGTGTCTAAGATACAAGTTACGACTTAGTTTAGGCTCCAGATCTCCCACAAATTATGATACTTTTATTTTGTATAAAGTAAAATGTAATATTATTATACATTGTAATTTGTGGAGATGAATAAACTAATTTTTATTTATTATTATTATTTTCGTAATATTAAAATTAATAGGTTTATGTTTAGGACTCTTACAATGGGGCTGTTGCATTACAATAGATGCCAAAGCCCCAACAAGACAGACGCGATAGCGCCAATGCAAAAACCAAACCAACAAATTTTCTACTGCCCGTGGTCTGCAAATCTTATGGTTTTTACTTAAAATAATCAAGACAATACGTAAAACAATTCATAATAAAAAGTACTTACACTTAAAAACATCGATCGTCTTCAATACACTTGAGATTCCATAAAATTAAATAAGCACTTGTTACTTGCACGAAGTTCCCAAAGAAGTGACCAATTTAAGATGGCGGAAAATTAAACAAAAATGTGGTATATCGCGACATCTATTCATCACAAATGCTAGTTTTCATACCAAATATGTTTAAAAGATGGCGTTAGTAGTTTTATATTTTGCGTTTCCTATGCTATTTCGAATAGACGCCTTAACCCCATAGACGCCATAGCCCCGGTTGACCTTACTTGCTAATCGTTGGCAGAGTTCTCTTTGAGAGATAAGCCCACCTTTGCTAACAAGTTGTTAAACTAACCGCTGTATCTTTTACGGGTATAATAAAGAATATAGGTATGTATATAATTGAAAAATATCAGAACAGTGCTTACCTTCTGCCACTGCTTCACAATTTTAGTGCATCCACCCAATGCATTGAGTTCGTCTGTGAGACGAACCCATAATTGGTTGGATCTTGTTCGCCCTTTTGCATTTCTACAGCGGCCACGAGCTAACTCATGGTGCTTTTCTAGAAATGTCAGAAGGGTATCCACTTGATCCACAGTGGGATTACCCATCTAAATGCATAAATACATTTGTTAGCGCTTGTAATATAGAAACTAATAAATTCAAAATTATTAGATGTTCATTTTCATTGATGTTTAACGAACAAATTTAACAATAAATAATCATTTAAAAGTAGTTGTAAATATTTTACCTTTTATAAATTTAAAGTTTATAAAAAAAAAAAAAACAAATATTTGTCATCTATTAAACGCAGCATAGCAAAAATAAGTAAAATTAACAATAATCTCTCATCTTTATATCGATTTACACGTGCGTAAAACCAACGCGGAGTGAAGCTGTGTGAAATGTAGAGTGAGTGAGTGATCGACTAGACGGGCGTCGGCGTCCCCAGCAGCGTGAGCGAGTGCGGTGCGCGACAGAGAGAGCAGTGTGCGAGCGAGAGCGACGACGCGTGCGATTGGTGTCTCGCCAGTCGCGCCCCCGCTCCGCTCGCCACCCGGCCTCGCCGCGCGCCGCGCGCCCACGCACCGCGTCTCCACCCTGCGGGTTCGCCTGGCGACCCCCACAGCCGCAGCCGGGAGCCGCGAGTCAAGGGCGGTGATTTCTTGTGAAATCATCCGTCCCTTGACAAGCCACCACCTTCCCCCGTGAGTATCCCATTTTTCTTTCCCCTTGTCGCCTCACGACGCCCTCCGTCCCGTCTAGCCTTCCTTTTTCCCCCCCT